GAAGATAGTCTTTCACATGCTTTTTTTCTTTTTCATCTTGAAGCTATCGTACGGCTTTTAACACAAGTAACAACAAATGATAATAATAGAAAAAATACGATTAATTCAAAAAAAAATCAAAAGAAAAAGATTAATTTAAATGAACACTTTAAATTACCTTGGACACGATTATTATCTGCAGTAAAGAGTATGATAATTATTGGGGTTGGATCAATCTTTATTTTAGTACCTAGCTTATCAAAAACATTTGAAAATGGACAATTAATTTTAATTACTCTTTGCGTAACACAAGGTGATACAGTTGGTGGAGCATTTACAACGATGAAAATGAGACTTATAGGCACATTACTCGGTATATTTATACATATTTGAATAGAAATATAAAATATTTATTTTTTCAATTATCATCAGGTTCAATATGGGCATACATAACATATTTATTAGCTCATAATGATACATATAAAACTATGAGCATTTTAACTCCATGGATTTTTATTTTTAGTTATTTAAAATTACTACCTAATTGGGGCTATACAGCTGCTGTAGCTACTTTTACACCAATAGCAATTAATTTAGGTCGATTACCATATGGAGATGCATTACCAGGTGGTAATTATGTTCTTCTTCGAATTGAAGAAAGTTTTGTAGGCATTACAATAGCTGTTATTCTTACTCTATTTATTTTTCCAACATTTGCTATTGATTTATTAAAAGATAATATTCAAAGTAAATTGAGAAATTTGAAGTTTTCTTTTTTTTGATAAAATTATTTTCTTTTTCTTGAAGCTACTCTTAAAACATGTCAACAAAGTATTGTATCAATGCATTCCATTTATGATCAATTATTTCATCATGATCATTCTCATGAATCTCTTATTCAACTTGACTTAGAAGAACAAAAAAATGAATCATTTATTAGTACACAAAGAAATTCTTTTTACTCTTTAATTAATGTTCAACGAACTTTAGTTGAACATGCATCACTTGAACCAACATTTTGGTGGATGAAGAATGCATTCTCAACAAAACGTTATAATATACTTGTTCAAAAACAAGTTTATATATATAATATGTTACATAACATCGATGCAACAGTAAGAAAAAAAATATGAATAGAATTAATAATTTATATATTTTTTAATTTGATTTAGTTGATAAGAATAAAGGAATATTCTGAAAATATTGAACATCTTCAATTAAATGTTGCTGGTGGTCATCTTCTTCCTAATCTTCATCGAGAACTTTCAGATTTAAGTCGACAATTAAGTGATTGTTTTCATTTATGGACATCATATTTTATATTAACTCAAACAAGATTTCATCAGTTATTTCGTCAATGTATTTATTCTCATAATAAATTAATTTCAACTGATCTTGCAAAACATGAACAATGCTTAATTGATTTAGATCAAACAATTCATCGTTTACATGTTCAACATCAAATAGGACTTAATCGATTATTACAACATTATCTTAGTCGTTTATCAGAAGATGAATCAGGTCATTCAGTTATACCTTATACTAATAGTAATGAAGCTGAATCTGTTTTTATTGCTTATTATGCTTTATATTATTCTACAACACAACTTACTCAATGTGTTTTAACACTAGGTGAAACAGTTCATACTATTTTTGAACTTGAAACAACACATCTTTATCGACATTTCTAATTAGAAATCATTTCAATCATTAATTAGTCTCCTATAATAATTATTTAATAGCAGCAGATATCATAAACGGGAAATTAAAATAAATAAACTTAATAATTCTATTTTTCAATGAGAACTTACTCTCGTTTTTATTCTGTTACTTACCTAATATAATACTGAATTCAATAAATGGCAAAATGTTTTGATACTATATATTTATAACAAATAAAAACAACAACAAAAAAAGTGTGGGTGTAGATGTTGTTCTTACTTCATACTTTTCTTTAAAACAGATAGGTCAGTCTATTTTTTAAACACCCACACTCACCCGCAATAATAATATCAATACTAATATTTACTAATAACAGTGGTA